TCTCGCGTTCTTTTCCACTACTCAGTCGGCTGACAATATCGAATACAACAGAACGGATAGAAAACCATCATGTATATGGAAGAAATCCAAAGAAGTATCGTTGATTATTGAATTTTCTCATCTTGTTGAACTCATCCAGTATAATTTTCTAAATCATCATAAATATCATCTTCATCAGAATAGATATAATCGATTGAATCATCCACATAGGATTCTTCATCAGAATCATAATTAATACGGCAAGACAACAACAACAACGTAGAAATGGACCAAGGCAATTAAAATTAAATGATTTTATGCCACCACATTTACGTGACATCTCAACATTAAAAGAGCCAAATCTTCCATTGGATTTTAATTTAAAAGTTTCTGGTTATACAGGAACAACAAATACAAGATCTACTACACCAATTAATGTTTTAACACAACAACCAAGAAACTTTTCAACACAAATCATAACAACAAATAATACAGCACAACCATTTCATGTTAATAATAATATTTTCTTAATAACCATACAACAAGATTTGTTTTTGAATTGGATCAAGTTAATATTATTATATTCAACAATGACAAACTATTCGAAAATTCCTGTAATATTTATATACAAAACAGTTGTTTTATTTTTTATTGATGATGATTTATTGCGAAAGGAAATGCTCGGACCTGATGTCCGCTTGCACTGCAATATAAAAAGAAAAAATGTAAAATTGATAGAGAGATTAACACATTTTTGTTTTGACATTTAAAGAAAAAGAAAATTCATTTTTCTACTTTTGTATATGAAAAAAGAAAGAGACATACATTTCTAGCTCAAATTACAGCTCTAAAAGTTTACAAACAATTGTTTTTATCGGGTTTAAACGCGGAAGTAAACGATTCAATTCACGTTTTCTCTCATGTGAGAGGTAAAAATTAACAATATAGACAATAAGTTTATTATATAAAACAGCATGAGCGATGAAAGAAGAAGCGAGCTTTAGAGTATACATTTTTAGCATTTGACATGAAGAGAGAGTATGAAGCTCGGTAGTAGGGTACCAAGGCGGAAGCCGGTAACAGATTTTGAGCGCCGTATTTTGAACACATTGAAGTTTCGTCCAACTGGACTCAGAAATACATAAAAGAGCAGGTGAAGAGTACGTTAGAAGAGAACGAACGAAAGTGTTGTAAACAGAAACAGCCGTATGGGGGTAAAGCCCCCAATGTCTGCTACAGACACTTTTTAACGCACCAGGTCTCTTTCGAGCACTTTTTTTTTTTTTTTATTGCTCCTATATCTATATTTATCCTTTTACAGTTATATATTTTTTTTCGTGTACTTGAATTCTTGTTCTTTTTATTGTAATAATTTGAAAAAGT